GGCTTTGAGAAGGGGCTGGATGACATTTCTAGCTGCTCCTGCTAAGAAAGGAGTAATCGGCACTCCTACCACAGGATGTCGGCAGATCACGACTGGGCCAGGAAGGAATGTTCTGCCATCCCTGGGCCAGCATGGCTGGCTTTGTCCGAATCATCACATTCTGGCCTCTGCTGGAGATAGAGAACTGCTCCAGAAGGTGGGGGACTCAGATGTGATTTTTCAAACATGAAATGCAAATAGGGACTAGCCACTGGCAAATTCCAACTCCGTCCTTCTTTCACTTCCTGGGGATCCAGCAATTTGTGTCCTTCCCCTCTAGCAAAGGAACAGGGTGAGACGGACATAGGTAGCAAATACCCGTTCCGTGCTCCCCTTGGGTGGCACCTTATGACAGGCCTGAACGTGAAACCATTTTTCTCTCGCCCTGTGACCAGGAAGGGCATGTGAATGCCGCTGCTCCTTCTTGCCTTGGGCCGCAAATCATGCCCCCAGCTGCCCTGTGGAGGGCAGCATGTTTCTCTCTTGAGCCCCGTGTCTTCCCAGTGACCTTCTCAGCTCATGAAGACAGCTTGGCTTTGCTGTAAAGCAGCTCATGTGACTGCAGTAATCCGCAGGCAGTAAACAGCTGTGTAGGAAGATTGCAAGAGGAATCGGCCTATTTTTCCGCAGTGCAGACTTTGGCATGAGAACACCAGACTCTGGGTGGTGGCTTCTGCTGCCGCACACCTACCTCTATGCGTTTGATTGGCTGCTTGACACAGCCAATCAAATGCTTCCCCAAGAGCCTGTCTTCCCCTCGGAGCTCAGGCTGCTGCATGCAAGGAGGGCAGTAAAATGGCACAGGGGTGCTAATTGATTGGCCCCCAGAATCCATCAGGAGGCCATGGGGTTTGGAGCAGTTCCAGCTGTCACCGTGAAACCCTTTTTCTCTCGCAGGGAAGAGGGCACAAGGGCTTCTAAGTCCATATGAAGCTGCTAAATACAAAGTGTAAAAACCGGTTGCTCCCGAAGTCGTTTCCCCTGGATCTTTTCCAGCATAGCGGGGGCCTTAATCCGAATTTGACTCCATCGCCCCCCTGAGAGTGAACTCCTTTGGCTTCATTTCTTCCTGAGCAGAAATAACTCTTGAGAGAACTTCCTGTCCTGCGTGACTCTTCTTCTGTGGACTCTCAAATGGCCTTCTCCCTCAGTTGCTATTCCTAGACTAGTCCCTTCTTCAGTATAACAGCTGGGAACCATGGTATCTTGGACTCCGCACCAAGGAAGTGCTGACAGCGTGCCCTGTGCGGGTAGAAGCTTCTTGCCCCAAAGATTCCCAGACTGAAGCACAGACACACTGGGGCTATGTCTACACTGGCGGGTTGTTGCACCAGAAGTATGCAAATGAGGCTAAGCGCCTCATTTGCATCCCTAATGACCTGCCATTTTTGCAGAAGAGGCTCTTGCGCTAGAAGGAGCTGTCTACACTGCCCCTTCTTGCGCAAGAAAAACCCCTCTTGTGCAATGCCGCTACACTGATTATTTTCAGGAATAACGGCATTGCGCAAGAGGGTTTTTCTTGCGCAAGAAGGGGCAGAGTAGACAGCACCTTCTGGCACAAGACCCTCTTCCGCAAAAATGGGAGCTCATTAGGTATGCAAATGAGGCTCGGCGATAGTCCACGCTTAGCTTCATTTGCATACTTCTGGCGCAACAACCCGCCAGTATAGACATAGCTTGGGAGACCCAGAGAAAGGACATTAGCTTGGAATTTGTTCAGAATTCACTGTGGTAGCATTTGCTATTCCATAGCCAATTTACTGATCACAGTAATTTTTCTTTCCCTTTTCGAGGAGAGAATTATTGGGGATCCTGGAGTTCTGAGGATCCCTCAATTTCCTCATCTCTACTTCCCCCCGTGGCTTTAGGGAAAGCTGAATCACTATTCATAGGATCCTGTTCACAAGGAACAAAGTGGAGGAGGCATTGATGAGCTAAGTTGTCTGATCTTTGGTTGTTGAGACTCTAGTTTCTAAATTTCTGTAGAATGTGTAGCAAGGGTAGCTGCAGCATGATCGTCCCACATATGATTCCACTGATGGGAATCAGCCCTCTTCAGGTGGGAGCTCCGTTTTCCAGGCAGAGCATAGTTGGTTACCTGCCTATATAATCTTTTGGCTCTCCACTGGATCTGCCCAAAAATGTCAACAGTGTGTGTTTGTGACATGGACAAATTGTCCACTAGGAAATTGACTATGACCGTCCCTTAGTTCATAAGTTACTAAACAGCCTTCAGAAATGGCCATCTGTTACAACTGGCCAGGACAGATTTGAACGAGAGACCGATCACTGAAAGGCTCTTATTTCCTATTCCCCTGAGCCATCCAGTTTCTCCCCTGCTAAAGCAAATTCTGTGTGTTTTCAAGCTCCAGCAGATGCCAATTGATGAGCACAAAACTGTGTGTTCATTGTACTTCCAAATGTAAATGTGAATATTTAATTGCAGCTGTATTCATGGCTCTGATGCCCCTCAGTCTCTGAAATCATGGTATTTACTTCCAATATAGAACAGGCCAAAATGGTAGTGATCTTGTGGATTTTCTCTAAGTTCTGCTTCAGCGTCCTTGAAGTTAGTGGAGTCCACAAGGCAATGGAGCTGTCCAGTTACTTTCTCAATGAATGTAGCCCACTGGTAGCTTTTAAACCACAATGTATCATCTTGTACTGATACACTCAGATAAGAATTTCACAAGCATGTTAAGTCCCATTTCAAATATGACAGGCACTTGGGAGCCAAGGTCTAGATAAAAGTCTATAGGAATTAGACTTCTAGGGGTACGTCTACACAGCAGCATTATTTTGAAATAATCTCGAGCTGGAGGACTTCTTACTCCGACTCCTGTAACCCTCACTTCATGAGGAGTAAGGTTTGACTTCCTGCCATGTAGACAGTGCCTAAAGCCAAATTAAGCTATTTCGACTTCAGCTACGCGATTGACGTAGCTGAAGTTGCATCGCTTAATTAGACATTTGCCCTGCTGTGTAGATAAGCCCTAAAAGTGCTATCTCACTTTTGAAAATGGAAGTTGGACTTCTAAGTCATCTAGATACTTTTGTAAACTGTCAATATTTACAGCAGAATTATTTCTTCAACACTGGGAGTTACTTCTTTCTGTTCCTTTATCAACCAGGTTTTTTAACTTATTTGGTTGTCTTTTAAGGCAATGGTTCTCAGCTTTTCCAGACTACTGTACCACTTTCAGGAATCTGGTTTATCTTGCCTACCCCATGTTTCACCTCGCTTAAAAACTACTTGCTTACAAAATCAGACCTAGAAATACAAAAGTGTCACAATTTATTGTTCCTGAAAAAAGGGCATACTCTAGACTAGAATAGCATGCAGCAGTCTAGAAAAGAGCACACGCTCCCGGAATTCTTTGACCTCCATGAGTGTCTCTGCTCAGGAACAAAGGCATGTTCTTTTGAGTTAGCTAACTGGAGTCAACTACTGTGAAATAAAACTCTAGCGAAGGAATGATATATACAAGTTGCTTTGTCTTCACTAGGATTTCACTTCATGTTTGTTAACTAACTTGAGCTAAGACATTTTTACCTCGACCACTTTGTCATGTTCCACAGGCGTAACTGTCCCCCCGGTTCTGGGAGAAGAACCTTTCTTGGGGAGAGGTGACTGAAGAGTCATGCCCCCACTGCACTTTTGAATTCCACACTGAATTTGCAGCACTGACAGGAAAACCTTATGTGGCTTGACTAATTGAGCCAATGTGATCCAGAGCCGTTGAACAAGAATTCATAGAGAACCTCATGATGGCAATTTTGCTGTAACCCGTTTCTGTCTTTAAATCAAATACCATTGGATTGGCCTAAGAAAACACACAAAAATGAGGTTCTAAGAAGGACCAACTGTAGGCACTCAACCAGTGTTTTGTGAGAAGGAACAATTAACGTGACCCTATTGGGCCGATGAACACAAGTTTACTTCATTTCGAACATGCACAGAAGCGAGTGAAGAAAAGAGCCTGCATATCGTGGCCTATTTGTCAGCCATGAATGTAGCTCTGTGTGTTAACAGAAATATGTTCGCTGCTGAACAAGCCAGTGAAGTGCTCAGAAAGGTGGCTTTTAAATGAACCCAGAGAATATCTGGTTACATGTTGCTATACTCCCTCAACAATAGTTGCTTTATACCTTCACATATGAAATGCTCTACAGTGTACACTAATGCGGGTGTTCATATATGACCCAGTGTGCAGTGTACCCTATCGTTTCGAAACGCATTTAGAGTGAAGTCTGTTACAACTTGACAGAATAATTCAAGACCAGTTTATCTTTTTTTTTTTTTTTTTTCTTTTTAGTGTCTGGTGGGTTAGATGGGGAGAAAACCTGGATTTTTAGGAACTTTCTAGCCTACTGCTCTGGGATGTATAGCTATCCATCACTGGTTGTGTGTTTGTGTGTGTGGTTTCTGTTGTTTGTTTTGTCCCCCCCCCCTTCTCTGGGAGTAATGGAGAGAACATTAACAGATGGGGACCGTGGCTGTTAGGAATATGGGTTTCAGCCACCCTTCTTCTCAGCAGCCTCTGCCTATCAGGCTTTTTGTGGCCTGATTATATCACTGATCTAAGTACTAGCAAGAAATCTCCTTCCTGGTAAAAGATTTTGCATTAATGATCTGATAAAGGGAGTATTAATACCTGGGGTCATCAGCAGTAATTGAATACTCCCTGGTCCTAAACTGTTCATGGGATGTAAAATATAGTTTGTTTTGCAGTTAGAAATATATAGTCTAGCATATCTAATATTTTAGTGATACTCTGAGGAGACCAGCTATGTCTTCTCATCCCCTGAAGGGCAGGAATGACTTCTGTCCAATGGCTGTCCTTCACAAATGGAGTGAAGGGGGCATATTTTTTTGTCTGTATATGGGCTATGCTGGTAATACCACCCCCTGCGATATTTTGCCCTTTGTTCAGCATTTTATACTTGCATTTTATTGTCAGGCTTCCTAGCAGCAGACTGTTCAGGTTGCAAGTGGAGTCTAACAGAAAATTCCACAGGTGAGTTACTTTTTGTGGTGGTAGTTTGAAATGGTGGGATTAAGCTGCTGGTTGGCGCTATTGCTTGTTTCCGTAGGTGTTCTGATCACTCCTGGTATTTCTCAGAGTAAAGAGGGGTACATCTGTCTGTCTATCTTTATATCTCACTTGTATGAGGGAAGAGTAGCGTATGTATGGTCAAATTCACAGATGCATACTAGAGTAACAATTGCAGGTGTGGGGTAGAGATGCACATGCTACTAGGCTAAGGGCCCAATCCTGGTATCCATATTAAGACTAAATGCTGTGGAAGTTGATGGGATCGCTGCCCCAGAAAGGAATGACAGGATTGGGTCTAGAATATATATTTCACTAATATGCACCAGTAACAACACTTGTGGTGAGGGCAAGAGGGGGTGCACGTGGGATATTTTGATTTGTAAGATGTCCGAGTCAGCATCCTAGAGAGCATGTGCAGGTTGAACACAGTACAGGTTGAACTTCTCTGGTCCGGCAACATCCATAGCCTGGAATGATTTTAGTTAGCTGGATGGCCTCTTATGGGTGTGGCCAAGTCTCCCAGGGTCCCAGACAGTTTGTTCACAGCCCCCCGTCCTGGTTCTCAGTGTTCTGTGCTGTTATTTAGCTCTAATGTACTCCTCAATGTCTTCTAAGAGCCCAGTACGCAGTGGAATTGCCGGTCTTGCTGCTAGACAATATAGACCTCCCCTGGTCCGGCAAATTTTCTGGTTCGGCACCAGTCAGGTCCCAAGGGTGCCGAACTAGAGAGGTTCAGCCTGGAGTTACATCAAGGAAAGACAAACCCCAGGATAAACTGATACCGGCCCATCAGCACTGAGAAACTGCAGTGAGGAGTGTTGTAGAAAAAACAGAGTCCCATAGAACATCCAGCTTGGCCTGCAGCACTGGAGGTCACTGGTCAGATGGAATGGATCAGTATAGAATCATAGAATCATAGAATAATAGGACTGGAAGGGACCTCGAGAGGTCATCGAGTCCAGCCCCCCGCCCTCAAGGCAGGACCAAGCTCCGTCTAGACCATCCCTGACAGATGTCTATCTAACCTGTTCTTAAATATCTCCAGAGAGGGAGATTCCACCACCTCCCTTGACAATTTATTCCTATATTTGACCACCCTGACAGTTAGGAATTTTTTCCTAATGTCCAATCTAAACCTCCCCTGCTGCACTTTAAGCCCATTACTCCTTGTCTTGTCCTCAGAAACCAAGAGGAACAAATTTTCTCCTTCCTCCTTGTGACACCCTTTTAGATATTTGAAAACCGCTATCATGTCCCCCCTTAATCTTCTTTTTTCCAAACTAAACAAGCCCAGTTCATGAAGCCTGGCTTCATAGGTCATGTTCTCTAAACCTTTAATCATTCTTGTCGCTCTTCTCTGTACCCTTTCCAATTTCTCCACATCTTTCTTGAAATGTGGCGCCCAGAACTGGACACAGTACTCCAGCTGAGGCCTAACTAGTGCAGAGTAGAGCGGCAGAATGACTTCACGAGTTTTGCTTACAACACACCTGTTGATACAACCTAGAATCATATTTGCTTTTTTTGCAACAGCATCACACTGTTGACTCATATTCAACTTGTGGTCCACTATGACCCCTAGATCCCTTTCCGCCATGCTCCTTCCTAGACAGTCGCTTCCCATCTTGTATGTATGGAACTAATTGTTCCTTCCTAAGTGGAGCACTTTGCATTTCTCTTTATTAAACCTCATCCTGTTTACCTCTGACCATTTCTCTAACTTGCTAAGGTCATTTTGAATTATGTCCCTATCCTCCAAAGAAGTCGCAACCCCACCCAGTTTGGTATCATCTGCAAACTTAATAAGCGTACTCTGTATCCCAATATCTACATCATTGATGAAGATATTGAACAGTACAGGTCCCAAAACAGACCCTTGCGGAACTCCACTTGTTATCCCTTTCCAGCAGGATTTAGAACCGTTAACAACAACTCTCTGACTACGGTTATCCAGCCAATTATGCACCCACCTTATCATGGCCCTATCTAAGTTATATTTGCCTAGTTTATCAATAAGAATACATACACCCCTCTCTGTTAGATACAGAGCCATGCAGGGCATGTATTTCACTAATATTCACCTGGCGCCAGGAGGGCTGGCACGAAGACAGGGACACCCCAGCAGTAGCGCCCTGCTCCCTGAGAAATGCAATTGTGTGTGTCACTTAGAGTTACCAGCTTTCCCAGCCAGACAGAGCGGGGAAAATCGCAAAGTAGTTTTAAAAATGATTTTAAATCAATTCCATTTAAATACAGTTTAAAATGCCATTGTGACTTCAAATTCCTGTTGTGTATTTTCAGATAGATTTTATCCCTAAAACTCAAAATCATGGAGCCACCCCATCACACTTCAGAACTTGTAGTTGCCATTCTACACAGCCTCTCCAGAGATACTGGGAGCCTAAAGGTTGTTTTAACTGTAAAGCTAACCTCAGCTTAGATATACTTTATGGAAAAGCCCTGTAGACTTTAGTGCAGGTTAAAATAATAGATTTCAATAGACATGTGATAGGATCCCTAACAATTGCTCTGAAAACTCCTAAACTGTAATAGAGAACATAGAAGTCTGCCTCCTAATTGCCACAGTGTTCAAGGAACAGAAAATAAGGGGGGGTGTTAAAACATTTATGGTAAAACATAATGAGAATAGCTTTCTGTTAAATTACTAATCCGAATTTTTAATAACTATAATATGGTACCTTGGCTGCTTGACTAAAGATCAAACATACCAGGTTAATATCTGATGCATCTTCTGTTTGGGAACCACAAAGGAGTCTACTGTGTGACTGATTCGATGTTTCTAACATCTATGAAGCTTTGTCCCCACAACACCTGTTAGCTCATCACCTAATACATCCTCCACTGCCTTTCGTATATTTCATTAAAAGAAAACAACACCTAAAGTTGCTAATTTTATTAACATTAGGTGCTATGACTTTTTCTCGGTAATAGGTTTCTTATATATTTGAATTGCCCATGATACAGGTGGCTGATCTTATTTATTCTGTACAGCTAGCTGATCAAGGCAGTTCTGTGGCAAGATGAGTTAGTTCATTAGACTTCCGGAGTCTTCGGTTCAAATGTTGTTTAGATCACAAGTGGAAATGAGCCATTTGGCCTCTTAGTCTTTATTTGTCACGTCTCTCTCTTTCTCTTGCACAACAATTGGCCCATATTTAACAGACAAAAAGATTTAACCGTCCCTGCTTCAGAGGGGCGTAAAATTACTGTCTTAGGTCAGGATTAAGTTACATAGGAGCCGAGCCCTGTGTGGGAAATTTATACAGAATAGCCCCACATTTTGCCTCTGACTTAAGCCGGTCTGATTCTTCTTGGTGAGCATCCTTCAAATCATAGGGCATGTCTACACAGCAAGGCAAAAGTCCAATTAAGAGGTGCAACTTCAGCTACGCCAAAAGACAGCTTAACTCGTCTTTTGGTGCTGTCTGCACAGCAGAAAGTTGAAGGAAAACCATTCTTCCTTCGACTTCCCTTACCCCTCGTGAAGTGAGGGTTACAAGAGTCAGAGTAAGCAGTCCTCCAGCTCGCCATTATTTTGAAATAATAGCTTTCTGTGTAGAGGCGCGCTGTGTTGTTTTGAAATAACGTCAGTTATTCCGAAATAACACTGCCATGTAGATGTACCCTGAGAGAAGCGAGGGTGGGATAGGTAATTTGGTCAACAGAGCTGAGGATTTGAAATTGGTTTCCCATGGAAAAACACAATCTGCTTCTTTGTCTCTTCTCCTAGCCCCTCTTTTTTTATCAACTAAGAAGAACATAAGGTTTGTACAGATGCATCAGAACGAGGCCAAAATGACAGAAGAGGAAGGTAAAGGCTCAGACTTTCAGTTTAAAGGAAAAGTGTCGCGATAAAAACACCCTTTGAAAGTGCTTCCTGGTGTTACTAACAACACCCGAGAGCACTAACTGAAGTAATTTGCAATCCTAGCTTGTGATGAAGGATACAGCCCCCACAGTGACCAGGAAGGGGATACTCCAAACGTGTGGGCCCAGTCAGCCCCACCCTAGTACACCTGTGCAAGGTGTCAAGCCAGGAGGTGGGAGGGAAAGGAAAAGCCCAGGTCAAGGTTGCTGATTGGGAGGTGGAGACCATTTGAAGGCCTGTGAAGGAAGGAGGGCCTGGCTGGGCCTAGAGCCTAACAAGAGCCTGCTTGGGGCAGGGAAGCCAGATGCAAGATCTTTTTGTCTCTCATAACTAGTTTGGGCTATGCTTTGTCTGGGCCGAACCAGGGTGAGAGAGGCCCAGCCATGGGCCACTGGTAGACAGCAGAGGGTCTGAACAGACCTCCCCTGCTTTATACAGAGTCCCGGGGCTAGAACCCAGAGCAGAGGGCCGGCCTGGGCTCCCCTAGCAGGCTGCCTACAGCAGGGGGCATGACAACCGTGGAGTAAAAGTCTGGCAGGCCCCAAAAGCCTGAAATTGGGCCGAACCTCTGGCACGCCGGAAGGGAAAGGACTATTCTTGACCTGGCTGAAGAGGCAGACCACCGCAGGGCCAGAGATGCTGTCAGGTGGGGGCGCAGAAAGAGGAGAGCCATGTACAGCCATGAGGGAGTGTATCTGTGGTGAGTAGACTCTTCCACATAGCTTGGCAGAGCCCATCCGGGGCCACAGCATGCTTCATCCATGAAGAGATGCTTGGGGAGCCGCAGAAGAGGCGTTCCGTCACAATTGCTCTCAGCCTGTGGATACGTGGCTGTCCCCGGCAAAGGACTGCATACCTGGATGGCTCGCAGGGCCCTCTGCATTCCTCCCACAAAAAAGCAGAGACTTCTCAGGAGATGCGTCCAGAAGGGCAGGTCAGTCTTCTCCAGTTCTTGAAACTCAACAGGCTGGCTCGTCCTCCAGCCGAAGATTCTATAGGGGTAAGTCCAAAAGTTCCCCCGCCCAATCTTCCCCCATTAAAAAAGCCCCCCGGGCCATCTCCCAGCTTCTCCAGTGGTCAACTTGGCAAGGAATCCTTGCTGACTCTCTTCCCCAGAGGAAGATCTGAGCTCTTTCTGGGAGTTTCTCCCTGCTCATCCTTTCTGATTGCATATTGGACAAAAAGGAATGCCAGGGCCCGAGGCTTCCTCTCCGTCATATGTTCCTGAGCAGAAGCCCTAAGGGGGTCATCCTTCCCCTCCCAAAAAGGCAAAAGAAAAGTAAAAGGGCTAAAAAATACAAAACATAGAAGCCGAAGAAAAGCCTCCCTCTCTTCCCTCCTGAGCTCTAGCTTCTCCCCCAAAGAGGGGGGATTTTGGCTTTTGATCATGCTAACCCTAGGCCAGAAAAGCCGAAGAAGTAGAAGTGGTGGATTGTAGGAGAAGATTAATGTCTAAGAGAGCAACTTGATTTCAGTACACAGAGCAGGCATCTGCTCTCAACAGGAGTGCGGAGGAAAGGACTAAGGCGAGGACTTTGAAAATCAGGTGTCTAAAGTTATGCTTCTCAACCCACCTGCACCCAAATAAGCAGCATTTAATCCAGAAAAAGGTGAAGCTTTGTATGCGTGGTTCTTTGGAATCCTGACATGTGCCAGGTCAGCCGTCCCTATCCAGTCTTGGAGCTCTTCTATAGATCCACTTCTGTTGCTGTTATGAATGAGCTGAGAGGAGCTCCTTGAAATCGAACAGGATGAGCCAGGACTATGCAGGACACTATCCGTTTTAGGGAACGTTTCATGGCTGATAAGTGTGACATCCAGATAGGTAGTTTGATGTTCTTAGCTGCTGAGGGTAGGAGGAGCAACTATATAATGACGGTGACTGCTGTGATCTACCTGGGGGTCCTTTTGTTTGCTGTTGTGTTTGGCGAATGTTCCACGGAAAAGTCAGGACTGAAGCCTCACTATCTACTGTATAGTTGAGAGAGTCTGTCTGTCTGCCTGCCTGTCTGTTCAAGACCTCCTAATAAATGGTAAGAGCTAGGACCACCAAATTCAGGATACAGCGTCCTCTGATCGTAACTCACAGCAAGGTCAGGATTTGGTTGTGCCAGGAAAATCGGATGTGCCTGGAATAGGATAGCTTCTCAGAAAACTACAGAAAAGACTTAAAAAACAACGAATGGTCTAGCAGCACCTTAAAGATTAACGAAACATGTAGATGGGATGTGGGTTGTACCCACGAAAGCTCATGATACCAACTACATGTTTTGTTAGTCTTTAAGGTGCTGCTAGACCATTCGTTGTGTTTTAAGTTTTTCCAGTTACGGACTAACTCGGCTCCCCCTCTGAAGCTTTCATACAGAAAAGTGACACAATCACCAGGTAGGTAAAAGGGAAAAAAGGAATGAATAGTGACGTGGCGAAATTTGCAGATGATACAAGATTCTTCAAGATAAATAAGTCCAATGCTACTGTGAAGAGTTCCTGGGTATCTCACAAAACTAGGTGTCTGGGAAACAAAATGGCAGATGAATTTTAACACTAATACATGCAAAGGAATGTTAATTGGGGGACAAATCCCAAACAGACACATAAGAAGATGGGCTCTAGCTGTTACTACTCAAGAAGGGTATCTTGAACGAGTCTCTGAAAACCTCAGCTCAGGGCATAACAGCAGTCAAAAAGGCTGCCCATGTTAGAACTGTTAGGAAAGGGTAGAAGATACGACAGAAAAATATCATAAAGGCACCATATATGTTCTGTTCTGGTGGCCAATCTCAAAAAGGATACAGTGGGTCTAGAACAGGTTCAAAGAAGGGCAGCAAAGATGATCAGGAGTACAGAATGACTTTCATATGAGGAGAGACTAAAAAGATTTGAAAAAACTTAAAAAACAATGAATAGTCCTGAGTTGTCGATGGAATCATGAGCTTTCGTGGGCACACCCCACTTCTTCAGATGAATGGAGTTAAAGGGTCCATTTTCCCAATAAATAGCAAAGAGACAGGGGATGGGGGAGGGGAGAGAGAAGGAAAAAGAAGGGAAAAGAGGAGGAAAAACAGTCAATTAGAGTGTTGGTGCTAAATGAAGCCAATAGAGTGGGTATTAAGTGCTCTTAAGTACCCGGTGCTTGTTTTTTTTATGTCATTAGGATGTGGACTGTAGCGGGCCTTTCATACCAGGGCTTTGTTTAGACCTCTGTTTCAGGTATCGAACCTGTAAATGAAATTAAGTTCTGCAGCCTCCCTTTCAGGCTCGTTTTTGAAATTGGATTGCAATAATTCGGTACCTTTGAGACCCATCCACGTTTTTGTTAGTCTCTAAGGTGCTGCAAGACTATTTGTTTTTTCAGTTACAGACTAACACATCTACTCCTCTGAAACTTTAAAAAGACATGGGCTGTTTAGTTTAGAAAAGAGCTTGCTAAGGGGGGGAGATATGATAGTAGTTTATAA